TTAAAATAATAAAATTAAAAAATATTTTTTTTATTTTTTTTTAAATTATTAAAAATAGTAAAAAAATCAATAAAAATTATAAAAATATGGAAACCTTTCCCACCGCCTCCCAGACCCACCACCTTCAATCAGTAAAAATTATGCCACTTTTTATTAAAAAAATTCCATTTTTTCTTGAAAATGCCAAGAAAATGGCATAATTACTCTTCATAATGCCAAAAATCTCATTGAATCTGCCATTATTATGACATTACTAGAATTGTTGGCAGCTTTCTTTTTTTGATTTTTTTTTTGAAAAAATTAATACAAAATAGTAAAAATCCATTAAAAAATGGATTAATCCAATTGGTACAGATTTTGCCATTATTTGTAAAAAAAAATGTCATTGTTTTATGAAAATGCCAAGAAAGTGGAATTTTTACTCATCACAATGCCAAAATTATCATTGGTTCTGCCATTATTATGGCATTACAACAAATTTTGGTAGATTTCCAACCGGTAATGGGAGGTGGTGGTGCTGGGTGTGACAGAGGCGGCGGCGTTTTTTTTTTTTGCATTTTCTAATTTTGAAATTAATTTTTAATATTTTTTCCCAAATTTTTTTATAAATATTTTACGAATTTTTTAATAATTTTTGACATTTTTTAACTATTTTTAAAGTTTTTTATTATTTTTTTATGAATATATTAATTAATTAAGACATTTCAAAAGCGTCAAGGTCATATTTGTCCAAATACACATAAAATAGTCCTACTAGATGGAAGAAAAAAACATGTAGTCCTATTTTTGCTTTTGGCTCACTTTTTTGTCCTATATAGGGAATTAACTCTTAGAGATAACACAAATTGAAATCAACAAAACAACCCAATTAAAACCTTATTAAAAATCAGACAACATAAAGGACGCTAGCAAGCCAAGGGAAAGTAAAAGTTAGCATGTTTGGGACCCCCATCTTTAAAAAAAACTTTTCTAAAATTGCTATAACCTTTTCTATTTATAATTGTATCTTTATAAAATAAGTATCCAAATTCATAATTGATTATTATCTTTCGTATGACGCCTGTTGAGGTTTATTCCTTCAACCCTCAGGTCCAACACGTAAGCCCAAGAGTTTCGAGTGGATTAGGTGTGTGAATAAACTAGCCCAACTAACAAGTGAGATGGATCAAGGAAAACAATAAGTAGCAAGTAAGTGATTAGGTATTATTATCTGTTAATAACTCCCTAATACAATACTTTCGCTAAGGCTCGTCGGCCGTTCGTCTCATAAGGCAGTATAAGTGCTGCGAGTAAGAATGCTATAGCTAGAGTGCTAAGAATGGAAAGTTGCCAACCCTTTACAATGAAATAAATGCTTCTATTTATACCCACCAATGGGCGGTTGGCTACGCTGACGTGGAAGACTGCGGTTGGCTGGTGTCCCAACCACCAAATCTTCAGCATTAAATGCACTTCCCGCCAGAATCTAGGTTTCCCGCCAATTGGTGGGGACGTTCGTCCGTCCGGGGAGTGAGCTGCTCCAGGTGGCCCTCATGGGGTATTGGGCCGTTCGTCCCTTGGCCCTTGTGGACTCTCGCCATGTGGACTGGACTGCCTCCGATGGCTATGGCTTACTCTGACGACGTTCGTCGTAATTCTAGTGGCCCGTGGTCCTGCTCCTTGTTCCTGTATAGACGTTCGTCGAGATGGGCCGCTGAGCCTGAACCCCATCTGCAGACGTTCGTCCCTCCCGGAGGAAGTGGGCTTGCCAGGCTAGCCTAGTGATCTATCTGGACGTACGTCCGGAAGAAAGGGTAAGTGGGCCGAACCTCAACTTGGGCCATTAACCCAACAACGCCAATATTATATGTATAAAAATAAAATAAATCTGAATATACAGTTGATGAAGGCATTTTATTTATTTCCTAAAAAGTCAATAGAAAACAATTGTGATCCACTTAATTTTAGAACTTGGATTGTTTGAAGAAAAATTTTGTGCCTCAAAACCTCCATCAACCGCATTGTTAAAGTTTTATTTTATTTATATATATGCAATATTGATGTCATTTGAAAGACAATAATAATTTATGAATTTTGATACATATTTATCTAAAATCGGGATCATAAATAAAATAAGTTATAGCAATTTTAAAAAAGAGAATTCTTTTAGCGTCCTTTGTATTTTGTCATTTCTCCTGACTTGCTAGTGCCCTTGGGTTTTCTGATTTTCAAGAGAAAAATTAAAGTGGTTAATTGGGGATTTTTATTGATTTGATTTGAGTTGTTTTTAAATAAATATTTTTAGAACTTGATGTCACTTATAAATACTTTTAACCAATAAATAAAATATCCGAAATTAGAGCATGTTCAAAAATATTTTTATTTTTTACGTATACAATTTGCGTGTCATATGAAAAATAATAGAAAGTCGTGAATTTTGATATATTTTTATTAAATCGGATTCAAATAAAAAGGTTATATCAATTCTAAAAACAAAGAGTTTATAAAAAGTGATTTTCACCTTGAAGCCCCCTAGCTAGTTCGTGAGAAACTTGCAATTCTTTTAGAAACTTGCCAACTCAGTTGTGGCTTTAGTTAATCAGAATTAGCAGTATTTTGGGAAATATTTTTAAATCAGTCATGATTTTGTAAATATTTTTTAGCTAGCATACTTTTGAAAAAAAAAACTCGCTAGAACATGATGAGAAACACTTTTAGTAAAAGAAAGTTAAAAGGATAAATTTGTCCTAAATTTGTTAGTTTTAGTAATCGTAGGGGCGCATTAAGAATTACTATCCCCTGTTCTTTAATTTTTGCAATAGTTTGATTTTCACGTTTGTTAATGCACAACTTTGATTATAATTATATTTAATTAAAAATTACTAAACATTATAAAAAAATTGATGTTTTGGAATTTCACATTAATGGGAATTCCATAACATTTTATACTTAAAAATTTGAATATATATTAGTAGAAAACTATGGTCAAAGTATTGTCTGCGAATAGTACAAAAATCACAATGTTGCAAGAATTAAAACATAGAGGTAGTATATGTTTAGTTCAATAATACTTATTTTACTTCATACGATCATATTGCCCTCAATAACTCAACAACTCAACCTATTGAAAAATAAATCAATGACTACCAATCACAATAGACAGCCTATTGTTGCCGCCATCACCCTCATTAAAATAAGAATATAACAAAAGTATATAGTTTAAACTCTTTTCTTTAAGGAAGGTGTCGAAGGACTACTTTACAAAATTCTAAAATCTAGAAGGGCTAATAACTTCTAAAAATGACCACCCATTTTTAGATAAATAAATTACAAAAATGTATAGTTAGTTTTGAAAAAACAGTAAGTTACAGATGAAATTTAATGCATAAAAGTATGCATTAAACATTATATTCTTTTTTGTTTCGTTAAAGCTGAAAAGATTAATTCATTTGGATGCAATTGGGTTAATAAAAAAAAGTCTCTTTTCGTTTCGAAAAATATAGACCCGAAACATGTTTAGATAATTAGTTCAAAAATAAGATACTACAAACAAATTGTCATTTAACGATATCCTACGCCAACAGTCAATTACCGTTGGTATATGAGGACTATAGCTACAGTAGAATATACATTACAAACCAATGTTTTAATGGACTAAATAAGTAATTTTAATTTTTGTTAATATAACTAAAAAGGAAATTCATTTTATATCGTGCACGTTACAGGTACTAGTTATTGACCAAGTAATAATCAAAGTAATGGACAAATGTGAAAAAAGAACGATTGCATTTGTTTATGAACGGGTATAATATTTGGGAAGGGAAATGCTTAGGAGGTGTTTACTTCACTGCTAAAGTCACAGTTAGGTTAGTAAGACAGGTGAAGTAAACACGCACACTGCTTAAAAAGCCGCTTACTAACCGAAAGAGGTGCTTAAAGTGCCGCTTATTAAGCATACCACCCCCCCATGTATTAATTAAGCGGCACTTTAAGCTTTTTCAGTTTCCGAATTTACCCCTTTCCCGTAACCTATTGTTATCCCTGCCCCACCTCGACCCCAACCCCACCTACCCCGACCCCACATATTATATTATATACTTGTGTTCATGAATGTTTGTGTGTATATATATGTATAGAGTTATTTTGGACATTTTAATGTTAAGCGGTGTTTTAAACCGTTTGAAGTAAACACGGTCTTACAACATTGTTTATTTTATGCGCCGCTTATTAACACGGGTCTTAATAAGCACCGTTTAATAACCGGTGAAGTAAACATGTCCTTAGTGTACATGAGTTGTACACAAATTGTATACAAAACCCCCCTGATTGTCTGTGTACACAGACAATTCGTTTAAAAGGGGGCAGCACTTGATGTCAAATTGTCTGTGTACACAGGCAATGTACACATTTTGTGTACAACTTGTGTACACCAAGAATGATCCATAATATTTTGAAGCAATATATGATTATCATGTAATCAAACGGACTCTTGTGAATACTTGAATGTACAGATGGACGAGTAATATTTAGTTTTATTATACTCCCACTACTCTCTATTAGATAACCCTATAGGTTTGACACAAATTTTAAAAGGAAAATAATTGGAATATTGTAAAAGCTGTAGTCAGTTGGTTTAAATGAAAAAGTAGGAAAAAGAATGAAAAAGTAAAAAAAAGAATGAGAGTATAGAGGTATTTTTAATAAAAACTATCTAAAAATGAAAAGGAAAACAACTATTAGAGAACATCCTGAAATGGAAAGAGATATAAGTATTAGAGAACAAAGTATATAAAATTTTATTTTTTGGAAAAGGTCAAAAATCTAGAAATATTAAGGGGCCGTTAATGGTCGTATGCAGTGACGTTAATCCGACCCGATTAGTGTAGGTAATAAAACGGCTTTGTACGCGCAGAAAATATCATTCAACGAAAGCTAGCCGAAATGACCAAACAGCCCCCTTTTGATTCCCATGTACTCGCAATACATATCTCAAGTCGCCAAATACATTGAACCTGGACACACCAAATCCGGTTTTATAAAACCCCTTCTTCCCCATTGAGGCTTTCACAGTTAAGCAATTTCATCTCCATTTCTCCTTGTCCCCGGATTCCACACACTAATCGTTTCCATTTTCCTTTCCATAATTAAATTCAATCTAATAGCCAATTGATGGCTCCAACACTAGCGTTGCGCCGCCGGGAATCGACGCCGGAGATGACGGAGGAGCTGAGAAAGAGATACGAGGAGATGGAGAAGGAGTTGAAGAGTAGCCGGGAAAGAGAGGAAAAGATGAGGAGAGAGTTGGAGAGGACGTGGCAGAGGTTGAGGGTGGCGGAGGAGGCGGAGGAGCGGCTGAGCTCTCAGCTCGGCGAGCTGGAAGCGGAGGCGGTGGACCAGGCGCGTGCGTACAGGGCGCGTGTTATGGCGTTGATGGATCAACTTTCCGCTGCCACCAAGCTAATCCCTCCCGCGCCTTCGGTTCCCCTTAATTGTTAGATGATTAGGATTTGATTAATTAATTGAGTGCTGATCTGATTGATGGAAGTGTGAAATATGGAAGTTTCTTAATCTGTACTCTTGTTGTGTAACTGTGTAATTACTAATAAAAACTAGACGATAAACCCGTGCGTTGCACGGGAAATCTAGGAACCTTTTGGTGCTCCATATATGTTTACGATTTATCAAACTTATCAACCATTTTAGTTTTTTCTCATATTTCGTATAATTTTTTCTGAGACAAAGGGATTATAAGTTTTTGAGATAACAAAAATAACGAATGTTAGCAAAGTTTCATGAGACAGAGTAAGTGTAAGTTTTATGATATTTAATTTATGAATGTGACTTTTCTAATTTGTAGTTACTAACTGTCACTGAGAAGTTGTTGTGTTCGTCATATTTTTATGAGAAAAATAATCAAAATACATAAACTCTAAAGAAGCGTGAGATAAACACTCCAAACTTTCATATGTAATTTAAATACCCCAAATTTTATGTAAAATTTATTTAGGCAATATGGTCCGATCCTATATTATTCCTTTCAAAAATGTTATTTATGGTGTTAATTGCATAATTTAAAATAACAAATTAAAAATGTTGCAATTGTTCACTCTAGTGGGGGCATTATTATTTATTTTGCAATGAAAGTTGAGAATGTTAATTGTATTTTTTAGAATGCTAAAATATTTTAAATTGTGAAACTTACACAAAAAATTAACAATTTTGAAAGAAATAATACATGACTGGTGCTAAAAGAACTTTTTACATAAAAGTTGGGGTATTTAAATTATATATGCAAGTTTGGGGTGCTTAATTCACACTCCTTTTAAAGTTTGAGGTATTTTAATTACTTTACCTTATTCTTATTGCTTAATGTTTATTTTTATTTTATTTAGACCAGATCAAATAAGGGACAATTCAAGTTAGATGAAATCGGAAAAATTAAGTTCACATGAGAAAGATTTAGATGTATAGTTATAGTTATAACTATAATTATAGTTATAAATTTAATCACAATAATAGTGATGATAATAACAAAAATAACCACATCAATAATAAACATTTAATTACATTAGCAATATTTAGATCTGAGTGAGATTGATTCAGATCAAATAAAAAAGATTCAAATTAGATATAAAAAAAAGTTTCTGATCAACTCAAAAAAATCAGATCATATGAAATATTAAAAATTCAAATAAAAACATTTCTATCCGGCTAATTGACTAACCCCTAAGAGAGTGTTTGCATATACTTAAAAAAGCGATTGTCGACTTTTGGCTTAAAAGGCTAAAATTAGTGTTTCCGAATGACTTCTACTTAAATAAACGTTTCTCGACTTTTGGCTTAAAACTGCTCTTTACTTTTACTACTACACAAAAAGCGCATATTTTACCAAACACTGCCACCTTTTACTTTTCGAAAACATTTTTTCTCTCAAGTGCTACTAACTTTTACTACTAATCACTTTTTCCAAAATAATTTCAAAAAGTGTTTTTTTAAGCAAAAACATTTGAAAACATTTTTTAAATCTTAAAAAAAACCTCTCAAAAAAAAAATCCTCTCAAAAAAAAATCTTCAAAAAAAGTATTCCACTAATTACTAATAAAAATACCGTTTATATGTGTGTTCTGTAATCTTAGTTCTCTTAATTCTCTTAATTAATTCAGCTCGTCCAAACAAGGTCGAATAGACATACATATACACATTCCGTGATTATTGGAGATCTGGACAAGATAATCATGGAACTGTTTAAGATATAAAATCAACATTGGAAAATTTTATGGAATCATATGTTTTATTTTGATTATAAAACGAGTGACAACAATTATTTATGATGTTTTTACTTGGACGGTAATTGGTTGGTCTAGTCTGTTCTGTTTAAGTCCGGTCATGTTTCGTCTGTTTAAATCTGGTTTGAACTGATTTGGTGTTGTCTTGTAAACGTCTCGTCTATGTGTATTTTATAACTACAGAAATCAAATTTGATCTGACCTGATCTATTTAAGTCTTGTTTGGTTTGGTTTATTTAAGTCTGGTATGTTCTTGTTTGGTCTGGTTATATAAGTCTCATCTAGTATGATCTGGATTGAAAACGGTCCAAGTAAAAACATGAAATGATGACAAAAGTAAGGCTTCCAACTTTTGCTTAGACAAATATAGACAGATTTTCATTTAAGACAAAAAGTGATTAAAATTATATGAAATTCTGCAAATGCCCCTAAATCCCTAAAACCTCGTTACGCCCAATTCCCAGCTTCCATCCTCCGATCCTCGTCAAACTTCAACCTCTTCCTATGCATTGGAGACTGGAGAGTGGCGCATGACGATGATAGAATATTCTTGGAAGAAATCATCCACCTTCAGTAGCTATTACGACAGAGATGAAACTCTTCTTCACCGATGTAAGCGACGGAGCTTTTTTAAGACGGCGATGGAGATCTGGAACATAGCTATGGAGCTCTGCGAAGATGAAGACAGCCTTTGTACGCTCTCGTCGTTTTCTTCTCCGTTCGAACAGTTAATCTCCGCCGATATAGCCATCTTCTTCACCGATCTTCTTTCTTCCTTCCTTCTATTCTCGTGTGATCGTGTCAACGGTTTATGGTGGTGGTGGTGACTCGCCGGCTTTGTCGGGTGGGATGCGGCGATTGTAGGTGTAGGGAGGGGGCTGGGAGGTTGTCTAGGGGGTTAGGAAGCTGGGGAGTAGACAGGATCGGAGGTATTGCTCTGGTGAAGGGGTGGCAGACGGGTAAGGGCTGGAGAGTTGGCTGGGACTTGAGAGGGGCTAGGGAGTTGGCTGGGACCTGAGGAGGGGCTGGGAAGCGGGGATGGTGGTCTGCCGCGGTCAGGGGTGGAGGCTGCTGGTCACTGGAGGTGGTGGTCGGGGGCGATGGTGGCCAGGAGCGGTGGAGGGCGGTGGTCACATAAGACCAGATAATCCGGGTGAATCATGTAAGGTTGAATCGCGTTACTGTAATTGGATGGGTCGGGTAACGATAACTAGTCGCAACGTGTAATTATAATTGATCAGATTGGGTAATTGTAACTAGGGGTGGGCAATTCGGTTTACAGTTCGGTTTTCTTCGGTTTCGGTTCGGTTTCGGTTTATTCAGGTTGGGAGAATTTGTACCAAACTAAAACCATTTGTGTTTCGGTTTGGTTTCGGTTCAGTTTGGTTTGAAGTTCGGTATACCAAAGTAAAAAATATTATGTTTAATTGAGTTTGGTTTGATTCGTTTGCTTATGTTTATTATTTTATTTGATCAAGTTCTATATTTTAGAATTAGAAAATGAAAGTAGTAGTTCATCTCATCTTTTTTAATTTATTGATTATTTAAATAAAATGTAAAAGGAAATAAAAGAGAATAATAAGTAATAAAATATTATAAATTAAAACTTCTAACATCTTTTTTATCACTACAAAAAATTCACTTCTTACAAAAATAAGATAGTTGATTATCATTTATAATATCACATAAAATATTCACAAAACCTATAAGAGTCGGTGGTGCAAATGTTGTAATATTCACAATATAATTTTGTTCAAATGAATCATGTACAAATATAAATGCAATTTGCTATTGTTATCACCAAACATAATAAATACTCCATACAAATATGTCGTATTAGCTAACTTTATCATAATGAATGTATGAAATGTGTAAAAATTAAAATGATACGAGTATATGCTTAAATATGTATTTTCATGTCTAAATTATTTATTTATTATATCTTTAAAATGAAGAGTGAATATAAATATAAAGTATGTGTGTGTGGGTGTGGGTGTGCATGTCGTTCGGTGTTCAGTTCGGTTTATGATTTTTCCGTTTTAAACCAAACCAAACCAAAGTACAAAACCATTCGGTTTGAGCAAATGTTTACCAAACGGTTTACTTAAGTAAACCAAAACCAAACCAAATCAAACCACCAATTTTAATAATATATGAAAGTTTTTTTGAGTTTCTTTTGTTCGGTTCGGTTTTGTTCGGTTTTTATCGGTTTCGATTCGGTTCGGTTCGGTTTAATACGGTTTGAAAGAAATAGTACCAAACTCAATCCAAATTACATACGGTCCGGTTTCGGTTCGGTTTAGTTCGATTTGGTACGGTTCGGTTAAACCAAACCGTTATGCCCACCCTTAATTGTAACTGGTCGAATCAAATAATTGCAATCGGTCGGATCGGGTAATTGTAACTAGACGGATCAGGTAATTGTAACTAGTCGAGTCGGGCAACTGGTCGGATCTAGTAATTGTAACTGATCGTATCAGATCACTGTAACTAATCGAGTCGGGTTTGGTAACTGTAACTGGTCGGGTTCGGTAATTGTAATTGGTCGGGTTGGGTAATTGTAATTGGTCGGGTCGGGTAACTGTAACTGGTCGGGTCGGGTAACTGTAACTGGTCAGGTCGGGTAACTGTAACTAGTCGGTTCGGGTAACTGTAACTGGTCGGGTTTGGTAACTGTAACTAGTCCGGTCAGGTAACTTTAACTGGTCGGGTCGGGTTACTGTAACTAATCAGATTGGATAACTGTAACTGGTCAGGTCTGGTAACTGTAACTGGTCGGATCGGGTAACTGTAACTGGTCGGGAAACTGTAATAGGTCGGGTTGAATAATTGTAACTGGATGAGTTATGTAACTGTACATGAGTTGGTCAAGATAATTATAAAAGGACAGATCGGGTCATTGTAATTGGATGAGTTGGATAACTATAACTTGACGTGCCGTCGTTGGTCACCGGACGGACGTTGGTCACTTGGCGGAATTTTTGGTCACTAATGATTTTGATCACAAATGGATTTTGAATTTTTTTGTCAGTATAATTTTTTTAAATCTTGAAAATGGCTGGAGAAATTTTATGGACGTGGAAGTTGGAAGTGCCATTTGATTTACAGCGTGCGGAGGTAACGGAGTATTCATTAGCAATGGGGGGTATATCTGATATTTTCATTCAAAAGTTTTTCAATGACTAGCACCTATTTTTATTACACGGATCTCATTTATTAGGTAGCTTTTATTCTAATATGCAATCCTAAGACCTAAATACCTCTAAACGTATTACAAACAATCTCCTATCTATCATCAAATGAGTCCGAATTTTAGTAAAGTTTTAGTTCTCAAAATTTCTTTAGTTAGTTCTCTCATTCTGATTTACCGATAGCAGGATATCGAAGAATCTCTCACACAACGTCATTGTATAAACTAGGGGTGGACAATTCGGTTTACGGTTCGATTTTCTTTAGTTTCGGTTCGATTTCGGTTTATTCGGGTTGAGAGAATTTGTACCAAACTAAAATCATTTGTGTTTCGGTTTGGTTTCGATTTGGTTTCGGTTCGGTTTGAGTTCAGTTTACCAAGGTAAAAAATATTATGTTTAATTTAGTTTGATTTGATTCGTTTGCTTATGTTTATTTTATTTGATCAAGTTCTATATTTTAGAATTAGAAAATGAAAGTAGTGGTCCATCTCATCTTTTTTTATTTTATTGATTATTTAAATAAAATGTAAAAGGAAATAAAAGATAGAAAAATAAATAATAAAATATTATAAATTAAAACTTCTAACATCTTTTTTATCACTACAAAAAATTCACTTCTTACAAAAAATAAGATAGTTGATTAGCATTTATAATATGATATCACATAAAATATTCAAAAAAAACCTAAAAAAGTCGGTGGTACAAATGTTGTAATATTCACAATTTTATTCAAATGAATCATGTAAAAATATAAATGCAATTTCGTATTGTTATCGCCAAACATAATACGATAATATATACAAATATGTCGTATTAGTTAACTTTGTCATAATGAATGTATGACATGTATAAAAGTTAAAATGATATGAGTATATACTTAAATTAATATGTATTTTCATGTCTAAATTATTTATTTATACTTTGAAAATGAAGAGTGAAGATAAATACAAAGTATATATATGCATGTCGTTCGGTGTTCAGTTCGGTTTACGGTTTTTCCGTTTTAAACCAAACCATTCGATTTGAGCAAGTGTTTACCAAACGGTTAAATTTACTTAAGTAAACCCAAACCAAACCAAATCAAACCACCAATTTTAATAATATATGACAGTCTTTTTGAGTTTCTTTAGTTCGGTTCGGTTTTGTTCGGTTTTTATCGGTTTTGGTTCGGTTCGGTTTGGAAGAAATAGTACCAAACTCAAACCAAATTACATATGGTCTGGTTTCGGTTCGGTTTGGTACGGTTCGGTTCGGTTAGGTTAAACCAAACTGTTATGCCCACCCATAGCATATACGATCATCTGAACTAGGATGTGTAGTTTTTTTTTCCAGCATTTTTTCAAGATGTCTGAATCATTCCGATTTGTTTCGGTACCGGTTAAAAGGACAATGTTTTATCATGTCATGTTCTGAATCGTTAGTCTAAATCGGGACAGATACCGAGAACACTCAAGTCTTGTTCCGTCCCGGATCATACCCACCCCTAACTTAGATATGACTTTTTCATAATCAACACATTAATCATATTCAGTCATTTCAATCATAAAATCACCTATTAAATTGAAATAGATTCTCATCGGTAATTTTAATGCTTTCGAATGGAGTCCAAATTTGATGTCCTTGCTCTAAAAGTCATGTCCTCGCCTCCACGGATTCAATTAGCTAGGTCATAGCATGCTAAATCTTCAAGCAACCTTTTTCTCGAGTAAGCTTTGACAAAGAATGAAAGAGGTGTGAATGTACACACCTATCGTCTATGGCTCGAGCTTTCGCGAGACCAAGACTTTTCACCGCATGTAGGTTGTTCCCCATTTAGAAATGGCTTCTATTCCTCACAAAAAGTCAAACTAGAGACGTGAATATCCCCCCTGATAAGGCAAAACGAAGTCTTGATGATATATGGCCATATGGGGTATACATTCCTCAACAACTTCAAAATACAATGATTTTAAACATCCCATACGGTTAAAAATACAAACTAGCATACTAGCTAGCTCCATCTAGGGATTGACTCGGTCCTCCCAGTCCAGTCCCGGACCGGCCAATCCCGATCATTGGTTGAAGCCTGGCTTTGACCCGATTGTAATATATTTTAGTGAGGAATAAATCTCAACAGATTGTTATTTACAAGTGTAAATAGAGTGAACTTAATAATCGCACTATTTTATTCATCATTAACGAAAAGATTCAAAAATTTACAAAGGTTGTCGCATGCACCGACCGAACCATCACATTATAGGCAAAGTTCAGTTTCCATAGTAACCAGAAAGTGCATACACATGGCCCCTCGGGCCCAAGACCGTCTATGATGATCTCTGATTTGAGACCTTCAGCCAAAGATTTTTCCATAGAGTCGCCTAATTCAGGGCTCGCCAATGAGATCAGATTAGCAGCTTGAGATTTTTGTGGGGCACCTCAACAACGACAGAAGGGGCTAGTTCATTCAACCTCACGACAAATCAACATATAGAAGATCATCACATAGTCTACTCCCTTTCATCTCGAGTACTCTCGCTTCATGCCAATAAAAAATTTCCTTTACGTGTCTCTCATGATATTGCTCTATTTAGGGCTGGAGGGGTTGGCGAAACAATCTAAAAGTGAAATAAAAAACCAAAATTAAAAACGGAAAAAGTTTAAAAATGAAAAGAAAGATGACTTGAGCCATTTATTATCATGCACCCAAAAGTAGACCATATAGGTAAGGTAAGGTCATTACTCATTATCACTTTGTTTTTTGGAAAAGGTCAAAAATCTAGAAATATATGAAGGGGCCGTTAATGGTCGTATACTCGTATGCGATGACGTTAATCCAACCCCATTGGCGTGGGGAATAAAAAAAACGGCCTTGTACGCGCAGAAAATACTCCGTATCATTTAACGAAAGCTTGCCGAAATGACGGAACAGCCCCCCTTTTATTCCCATATGCTCGCAATACATATCCTCGGTCGCCAAATACATTGAACCTGGACACCCCAAATCCGGGTTTATAAAACCGCTTCTTCCTCATTCAGACTTTCACAGTTGAACCCATTTCGTCTCTTTGTCCCCGATTTCCACACACAAATCGCTTCCGTTTTTCTCTCCGGAATCAAATTCAATCCAATACTCAATTGATGGCTCCGACACTAGCGTTGCGCCGCCGGGAATCGACGCCGGAGATGACGGAGGAGCTGAGAAAGAGGTACGAGGAGATGGAGAAGGAGTTGAAGAGTAGCCGGGAACGAGAGGAGAAGATGAGGAGAGAGTTAGAGAGGACGTGGCAGAGGTTGAGGGTGGCGGAGGAGGCGGAGGAGCGGCTGAGCTCTCAGCTCGATCGGCGAGCTGGAAGCGGAGGCGGTGGACCAGGCGCGTGCGTACAGGGCGCGTGTTATGTCGTTGATGGATCAGCTTTCTGCTGCTACCAAGCTAATCCCTCCCGCGCCTTCGGTTCACCTTAATTGTTAGATCATTAGGGTGTGATTAATTAATTGATTTCTAATCTGTAATCTTGTAGTGTAATAAAAATACAAAATTTATATGTATATGCAGTAATCTTGGTGTAATCTGCTCCATCTCTTATTTCATCTCATCCAAACTGGGTTGAACATACATTCCAATATTCCATGGTTATTGGAGATGTGGACTAGATGGTGATGAAACTTTTTAAGATATAAAATATTATGGATTCATATGGTTTATATTTGATCTTACAACCAATGTCATCAATTATTTAGTTGCGATAATCACATAAAAAATGTGTGGTGGTGTCACAATTTTTTTAGGATATTATCCCATAAGTCAATCACATGTGACTCTTTGTGATCCATTTTCACCTTTACATCACTTTATAGTCAAACGATCATTTTTTTTGTGTAACAATTAATATTAATAACGATACCATTGACACGATCATTTTTTTAATAAAGTTTGCTAAAAAATGTTTTATTTTGTAAATAAAGTATTCCCTTTGTCTCTTAAGTTTTCTAAATTTGATCGTCATGTGAAATAATGAAATAAAAACATTACGAAGTACTCCGTATGTTTTAAACTTATGTAGAAGAAAGAAAAATTAAGAATCACAACTTAATTACTTACCATAGAAAATCTAAAGTTATTTTAGAAGGTAAAAAAAGAAGTGATGAAGTTAGAGATAGGAGGTATATGTTGGATAAGGTGTGGTTAAAATACCCTCTCACATTGGCCTATTGGCCTATTCTGGAACATCAATACATGTTCTTATGCCCATTCCAATCTTGTCTAACTTTGCTAACTCCCCCTTCTCAACTCATATCTTTTTCATTCTGGAAACACGTCTTCCTATTCCATCTTTTCTAGAATCTCCTTTAGGGGTGGGTCGGGGAAGCCAAAAACCGAAAACCGAATCGAAAAAACCCGAATCGCAACCAAAACAACCGAAGCGCAAGAAAATCGAAACCGAACTACAAAAAAAAACGAACCGAACCGTAGTTGTTTGGTTTCAGTTTTGGTTTTCGCATCTCAAAACAAAATCGCATCGAACAAACCGGACATTTTTAAACTTGCTATTTTATTTATTAATCATCATTAAGTATAATATGTTGTTTAGTTCTAAATTCTTAATTCTAGTAAAATAATGTTTGATACTAGATTTATTATGATTTGCATGATATTGATATTTAATATTTATGGTTTAATTAAGTGAAACACTTGTATATACACTTAAGTCTATTGCTATAATACTAATATGTTGATACTTTAAATCGTAATTTATATTTTACTTGTTGTTGCAAGACAATGATATATTTTTTGATAAATTATTTGTTCTTGTTATGTATGTTTGTTATCACATAATTTTTATATTGAACAAATATGTATTAATATAAATTGTACTTTAAACAACGTAGCTAAAAACGTGAAACTTTAGAGCATAAATAACTTTGTATAAAAAGAAAGTAGAACATGTTATTTACTATTAAGAAAAGACTTTTAGTTAAATAGAAATTGAATTAGTGGACACAACATTTACATGAAATTTTGACTTGCAAATAGACTACATAATTTACAAATAAACTCATGCGTTTAATTAATTTAGAAAATGTTTAAATTGGTATACACGTACTCTTCAATTCATTGATTGTAGGTGCATGTGTTTCATCTGTCCTTCTTAATTATGTTTTTGTATTGTATTACTATTAATCATAATTTTTTTCAATTACTATTTTGGCAAAAACCGAAAAAACCGAAACCGAACTGAAAACATCGAACCGAACAAACCGTGGTTCCAAGTTTTTGAACATAAAACCAAACAGAACCGAACCGATCAATTACCATCATAACCATTATCGATAATAGTTAGAGAAAATTGCCGCAGGTAGTATTAAATCATAGCACTTTTACAAAATTAGGACTGCCTAATGTTGCCTCCATCCGTGTGACCCATGTGCTGCTATTTTAAGAAACTCAATTATTACTTTCCAAATTTACCCCTTCAGCTAATAACTCAATTGTCGTGTACTTAAGAAACTAAAATAAGTGCTCTGAGATATTGAGATTTTGAGCCGTCCTGCTGCGGGCTTCAGTTTCGTTCTGAGATAAATTTCAGAGGCTTCGAAGAATTCATTTGCGGTATAGCCGTTCTATTCATCAATGACGAGAGTTTTTAGGCAGGAGAAGTTTTTAGGGAGAAGAAGGAGAGTTTTTAGGAGGAAGAGGAAGAGGAGGAGGAGGAGGAGGAAGCAGAGGAGGAGGAGGAGGAGGAGGAAGAAGAGGAGGAGGAGGAGGAGGAGGAGGAAGAGGAAGAGGAAGAAGAAGAAGAAATAGAAATAAACATTTTACTTTGGTTCGACATTTGGTTTTAGGTGAAAATCGAGCCGTTTGAACCGAATCCACCCCTAATCTTCTTTTACAGAAAAAATAGAGAAGCAAATATCCAAGCCTAGTTCACTCGCTTAGTCTCCATGCATCCATGGCTGAATGGTAAAAGCGCCCAACCTAATAAAGGGGCAAATTCGTAGGTTCGATTCCTGCTGGATGCACTTGGAACGTTCAGTTCAATCGCTGCTCAATGCCTCCTTATTTTCGTTGGGGATAAAATCAAATACAATAAAAGAAGCCAGGGAAAGCGATGAAGCCCGGGGATTTTGAGAGTGCTTACGATGAACCTTAGTGGTTACACTACCCGGTCGATTAGAGGGAAAGTAGTCATGAAGAAAAATTAAGAATCACAAGTTAATTACTTAGCACAGAATATCTAAAGTTATTTTAGAAGATATGAAGTAAAAAAAGAAGTGATGAAGTTAGAGACATGAGATATATCATGAATAAGGGGTGTGTAAAAGACCGTGTCACATTGGGTTCTGTTCTGAGATGGTTGTGTTATAATCTTGAATAATTTGTCCGGGACAAATTATTTGTCCGGTACCGATCCCAAATCATTTCAAAATAAAATCGCGGGACAGATATATCACATTATGAGCCCGTTTGGTAGCACCAAAATCGGCTGTTTTGGCTGATTCTGCTGAAATTTATGATATTCTGGCTGGAGTGGCTGTTTTGGCTGATTCTGCTGATTTAAGAAAAAAATATTTTAAAAATATATTTTATTAATAAATTAAAGAAAAAATTATATGTAAAAATAGCTAAAACGGTCCTCTACAGTAACTTCAGCCAATACAGCCAGAAAAGTAACTCCAACCTTACTTTTTCGGCTTATTACACAATTCAGCGCGCGAAAGTAAAAGTTACGTGTTTGGTGAAAAAGCTGGTTGATAAGCCGAAAACAGAGTTCTCCAAACGGGCTCTATGTTCTGTCATATCGCTTTCAAGTAATAGTAGTAGTATTTTTGTTTTCGCAACACAAATTCGCACCAGTAAGTACTAAATGGCAGCTTGATAAATGCTATCGATAATTTCTAACCTCTATACGAGCATCAATTATGGGGCAGTTTTTATTCTAAGTGGTAATTGTAAGACCCAAGTACCTCTGGGCCTATTTTCTATCTATCACCAAAGCAATGTGAATTGTACCAAAACTCCAATTCTCAACACGTTTATAGTTCTCTCATGTCGGTGCACCGATAGAAGCTTATCGAGGAATCCTTCACACAACGTTCTTGTATCAATGATCATCTGAACCACAATATGTAGCAGTTTTTTTGTTGATCTTTTCAGGGTGTCACAATCGTTCCAATATATTTGAATATTTCGGTACTTGTTAAAAATTAGACAATGTTTTATCCTATCCTATTTTCAACCGTTAATCTAAACCAGGACAGGTATCGAGATCATCCAAATCTAGTCCGGTCTTGGATCGTGCCCATTAGGGACAGAGTCGTCCATGGGGGATAGGCACCTAGGCAATGGCCTAGGGCACCACCCCCAAAGGGGGCATCATTTTTTAATAAAAAGTCTAGTATTACTAGTATTATACATATATTAATATGGAGTATATTAATGTAATAGTCCAAGCGTCTAACTTGCAATTCGGAAGAGTCCAACTTTGACAATTGAATGAATTGACAAGGACATAGGAGCTTGGCTGCCAACCCGGGTGGCCAATAGACATATTAGGACTAGACTCCTAGTTCCTAGTACACTTAAGAGTTTTTTTTTTTTAACCCCAGTATTCGACCAAGAAACTATTTGGTTTCTCGGGGTAGGGGCCAGGAAACACCCTACCTATTTATTAGAAAAAGATGGAACAACATACATTAAGTTAATAAAAAAAATTTAAAAATACGACGGAAAAGAACAGGCCTCGAGCGATATCTGCCAACCCACTACCCATTCGGCGGATGAAAAATGTTTGGTGTACACAAAATGTGTACACATGTCTGTCATTCGCAGAAAATTTGTCGGTCACAGACAATTGTGACCGACAAATTTTTTGCGAAGGACAGAGATGTGTACACATTTTGTGTACACAAAATGTTTTCACCTAGCAAAACTCCTCAGCCGATTGCTCGATTTCTGCCATTCCGTGGTTCTGCCAAGCGCCAGGTCCGCTACCCATCTGCAAATTAGGTAATGACCTCCCTCCAAATTTTGAGATTTCAATTGTAATTTGTCACGAGTATATTTCAATAATTTTTTCATTTTTTCTCGCTTCCGCAATTCACTATTCAGCATAGTTTTTTTTTTGGAAAATTCATCATAGATATTAAAAAGTGAAATTTGTAAATGACTTATTCTACATCTAATTTATTACGGAGTAATTATTATTTATTAATTGTATTAAACTTGAAACTTTGTGTAATTAAATATAGCTTGAACTTGTTTTTTTTTAAACAAAGTGAACAAAATGAAAGTGCTCCAACAAAGAGCTATGAATGTTGGTGTGGCTTTAAATCTCTTGAAAGGATTGATTATATTTTTCAAAGAATATAGAGAAGAAAGGTTCGAGAAAGCAAAAATTTGCTATCTACTCTTGATTGTGGAGATGTACTTACAAATTTTGTACATCAAAAGGCAAGAAGAACATATTATTAGGTAGTACTTTTATAATTTTGTTTATCTGTTCAAAGAATTTATATTTTCACATACTTTATATCAATTTTAAGTCAAGTATTTCCTTTTTACATTTAGTAAAAAATGGTGTTATAAATTTCTAATCACTTCATATTTAATTATGTTATTAATTTTAAATACTATTTAATCTCATGAGTCATTATTTGTCTGGGGCATCAAAACTCCTAGAGACAGCCCTGATTAGGGGGATAGCTAGGGGAGGGCCAGCCCTGACCTAGATCAAA